GTGCTGCTGTAGAGGCTGCGAGCCTGCGGGCTGAGCGACAGCATTCCGAGCATGCAGTCGCGCCTGACCGACACAGCCTCCAGGCACTGCAGCGCAACCGACTCTGCAGGTTGGAGGGGGGGCGGCGCCGGGCGGAGCCTCCTGCACCGCCCCCCCCCCCAGCATCCCTCCTCTTCCTGACGTGCTTCCCTCCCTTTTGTCGAACGACAGAGCATTCTACATCCACGACGTACTAGCCTTGTCGAGTGACGATGTCGAATGTCGAATGTCGAGAACTTCCCGCACGACGCGGTCACCGGCGAGGACGCGTGGGGCTTTTTCCTCCTTCCCCAGAATGTGCCCTGCCCCTGGCGTCTGAAGCGTCTGTGTTGGGCTGCCTGGTTGTCCGAGGCGGGGTTCTACCCGTAACCACCGCCTGGGGGATCGATCTTCGGGGACATCGGCAGGCGGTGGATACGGATATACTCGGGCCCTGGAGGGGGGCCAAACATATGCATCTCCACCGCCCGCCGCCGTCCCCGAAGATCCATCGACCAGTAAGTGGTTATGGATAAATCCCAGCCTCGCACTAGTTGAGCACGATCTGCTGGCCGGTGTTTCCAGCACCTGTCGGAGCGAAGATACCTTTGGCCAGAGGCGTCCAGAGACTAACCCCTTCGAGCTTGAGCCCAAGTGGTCGCCAAGCGGCTTCCCGCGATCCGCCTGGCCCTCACCAGACGGTATTCTATCTTCGGAAGGCCTGCCACCGTTACCATCATCAGCACCATCATCACCATCATAATCGCCATCATAATCATCATCATCAACATCATCATCATTGTCATCATTATCACCATCATCGTCATCATCATCATTATTGTTATCACCATCGTCGTCGTTGCTGTTTTCGGATCGTCGTCGTCTATCATCATCATCATCACCACCATCATCATCTTCGGAATTCCTTTCTTCTTGATATTTGTATCATCAACTTAATGCTACAAGTCTTAGTATTGTTAGTATCGTGGTCATTGGCATGATCATCGCCGACAACATCGTAATATTAATCGTCATCATCTTCACTATCTTTATCACCGTCACAACATGTTCATCACCATCACCATCACCATCACCGTCATCATCATCATTATCATCAGCAACATCATTATCACCATCATAGTCGGTATCCTCGCCAGCGTCTTCATCAACATTCCTCCTCGCGCTCCTCATCATCATATCCTCAAATGCCGCACTATTTCTGGCCGCGCGCCCCCTATCATCGTCCACGCGTCTGATCAACCCCATTCTAAGCGGAATGATCGTTTCCTCGATACCCGCGTCACATTCGCGTTCCTCCTCCCCTCCCCTCTCCTCTTTTCTGTTTGGTATTTGTTTTTTGTTTGCCCCCCCCCCTCTCCCTCTCTCTCCCTTTCTTTCTTTCGATATTTCTTTGCTTATTTTGTTCTTTCTCTCTCTCTCTCTCGCGCACAGGCACATACACCACCACTACACAGCGACGTCCTGCGCACATACGTCACATCGTTCGACTCAGGGGGAACGCTCTCGCGCTCGGCGCTTGTCAGTTTCCCCACCCTGAGGGGGTGCGCGGGGGCAGCAGTCCCCAGCTCCCTGGCTCACCGTCCGACTAAGGGGGACGCCTCCTCCCGTTCGGCCCACTCTCGAGCCCACACTCTCGAGGAAGCGCAAACATGGGCTCAGGCGCGTGGATTGGCGACGGGCCCCCTTTCCGTGCAGAGTCGGCGCCCTTCGCCGCCGGATCGGGCGGCACCCGCGCCACGTTGCCGGGGGGCACCTTCCCCGACCTGTGGATCTGGCGCCCACGCGCCAGATCCACGACTCCGTCATCCATGTCAGCGTTGGAGGGTTTCTCCGAACGGCTTAGGCGACCCGTCCTCCTCCTCCCCCTCCTCCTCCTCCTCCTCCTCCTCCTCTTCCCCTCCTCCTCCTCCCTCCTCCTTCTCCATCTCCTCCTCCTCCTCCCCCTCGTCCACCTCCTCTTTCCCCTCCCCTCCTCCTCCTCCTCCTCCTCCTCCTTCTCCATCTCCTCCTCCTCCCCCTCTTCCACCTCCTCTTCCTCCTCCTCCTCCTCCTCTCCTCCTTCTCCTTCTCATCTCCTCCTCCCCCTCTTCCACCTCCTCTCCTCCTCCTCCTCCTCCTCCTCCTCCTCCTCCTCCTCCTCCTCCCCCTCTTCCACCTCCTCTTCCTCCTCCTCCTCCTCCCTCTCCTCGGGTCGCCTACGGCCCCTGGGGAAACCGTGCAGTCAGCGTGTGCCCAGCACTCTCCCCACTCCCGAGGGTGCGCAGGCCCCCAGCAGCCTTCCGCTCGGCGACCCCCAACAGGAGAAGGAGCTGGAGGGCGAGGTGAAGGCGGCAGAGGCGCGGATCCAGGATGCGAAGCCCAGAGTTTCCGCCCGCGCCCCTCTTCCCTGTTCCGAAGGGGGGAGGAGGAGGAGGGGCGAGAGGAGAAGGAGAAGAAGAGAAGGGAGGAGGAGGAGGAGGAGGAGGAGGAGGAGGTCAATCCGTAGCCATTTTGGCTCAAGGTGGGCTGGCCTCAGCCCCCCAGGCGCAGCCGCGGCCAGGGGGCGCCGCAATGACGAATACAACAACCACCAGCTGTTGAACTACAAGGTTACGAGACGTACCTACTTTTGTGGAGACGAGCCAGCAAGGATGCCGAGACCATGGTCGCGAACAGACGCGGTCCAAGAACGAATGGGGTACAGTGTGCGGCATGGGATACAGCCTCGACCCGACGACGTCATTATGATTACTACGACCGCCCTCGCGAGAGCGTCCAAGCACGAGCTGTGTAACAGGCAATCCCCGGTGCGAGAACGAGCTGCGTAACAGGCAGCCCAACGACGACCACCACCATTACGACAGCACGCGCGCCATAATTATCGACGCCAGGAAGGACACGACCGCGCAGCCCGAAAATGTGACTAAGTACGTCCTCGTGGAGGTACAGGTGGACAACGGCCGCGCCGCCGACGACGAATACAACTGCGGACGCGCCGCCCTCCACGATTACGGCTACGGCGGCTTCATCGATAGCGACTTGTACTCCTACGATCCCCAGGACTATTCTGGCATCCAGAACGTGGAACACTACGACCTTCGCAGCCGACGACTCTGATCCAGACCTCGGGGAATCAGAAGAGAGCGCGACTACAGCCACCAGCAAAGATACCGGGGCCACCAGACGATTTTCTGGGGCCACAAGCTGAGCTTCGAGGACCACAGGCGCAGCTACGAGTGCAACAGCAAGTGCTTCAAGACCCACCTGCCGAGCTACGAGAGCCACTAACAGAGCCACGAGAGCCACAAGCTGAACTACGGGGGACGCGAGCTAACCTACGCGAGCCACAAGCAGGATTGCGAGGACCACCGGCTGAGCCACCAGTAGAGTTACGTGCACTACCCAGAGAGGTACAGGAGTCACCAGCCAGCACAGCTACAAGAGCCACGCGCAGAGCTTCGAGAGCTATCGGCCGAGCCACGGGGTCCACCTGGAAAGCAACGAGGGCCACAACCTGAGCTTCGAGGGCGACGAGCAGAGCTACTACAGCCACCAACAGAGCTACCAGGGCCACCAGCGGCCCTTCGAGGACCACAGGCTGAGCTACGAGGACCACGGGCACAGCTACGAGTGCTACCAGAAGAGCCTTCAGACACACCTGCCGAGCTACGAGAGCCACCAGCACAGCCACGAGAACCATCGGCTGAGTCACGCGATCCGCAAGCTGAGCTACGAAGGCCACGCGCAGGACTACGAGGACCACCAGCTGAATCACAAGGCCATGTGCGATTCAAATAGCAACCGCTGGTCGTTGAACTACGAGGCTACGAGGCCCATTCTTTTGGGGGGAAACGCACCCGCAATGATGCCGAGATCATACACGCAGAGAAGATTATGAGCGCGAGCAGACGCAACCCGAAAACGACTGGGGCACAACGCCCGGCATGGGATACAGCCTCGACCCGACGACCTCATCATCGTTGCCACGACCGCCCTCGCGAGAGCGTCCAAGCACGAGCTGCGTAACAGGCAGCTCACGTGCGAGAACGAGCTGCGTAGCAGGCAGCTCAGGTACGATCATGAGCTGCGCAGCAGGCAGTCAATGGACGAGGACCACCGCCAGTGTGCCACCAAGGCGGACACTAGGAACGACGCGACCGAACAGCCCGAAGTGGTTGCGTCGTCGTGGAGGTACCAGTGAAAGACGGCCTTGCCGCCTACGGCGAGTGCGACTACGGCCGCTCCGCCTACGATGGGTACGACTACGACAGCTCTTTCGATGGCGACCTGTACTCCTACGACCCCCAGGATTATCCGGTTTCCAGGACCACGTCAGGCCGCAAGGCTACGAGAACCGCCAGGTTCAGTGACACCCTGAACGTGGTTCACGACTCCGAAGTGGACCTCGTGGGCTACGGGGAGAGCGTGCCCCCGCGGGCGTCTCAACCCGAGCCACTACAGCCACCGGCACAGCTACCAGGGCCACCGGACGACTTTCGGGGACCACAAGCTGGGATACGAGGACCACGCGCGCGGTTAGCCACCAGAAGAGCTTCAAGACCCACCTGCCGAGCAACGAGAGCCACCAGCACAGCCACGAGAACCAACGGCTGAGTCACGCGATCCGCAAGCTGAGCTACGAAGGTCACGAGCATGACTACGAGGACCACCAGCTGAACCACGAGGCCATATTCTGCGCTATGAGTGCCACCAGATGAACTACGAGGAGCACCGGCTGAGCTACCAGAGGCACCAGCTTGGCTACGAGGCTAACAAGCATACGTACGAGGACCACAGGCACAGCAACTACAGCCCCCAGAAGAGCTACCAGGGCCCCCAGAAGACCCTCGAGAACCACGAGCTGAGCTACGAGGCCCAGAGGCACTGCTACGAGGCCCACTGGTGCAGCAACAAGGCCTGCGAGCTCAGCCTTGAGGACCGCAGGCGCAGCTACGAGAATTTCAAGGGCGACCTACTGAGCTACGAGGGCCGCAGGCTGTCTACAGGGGCCGCGCGCGGTGTTACAAGGACCACCAGCGAGCTACGATTGCCACAAGCTGAGCAGCGAGAGCATCGACCATAACAACGAGAGCCACCAGCTGGACTGCAAGAGCCGCGATCAGAGCCTCGAGAGCTTCCAGCACAGCTACGAGGACCACCTGCTGAGCCTCGAGGGCAACAAACTGAGCTACGAGGGCCGCGATCAGAGCTCCGAGAGCCACCAGCTGCACTGCGCGCGCTACCAGCGGAGCTACGAGGGCCACAGGCTGAGCTACGATATTCACCCGCGCTGCTACCAGGGCCACCTGCTGAGCCACGGGAGCCGGCCGCAAACCTGACCGTCGAGAACTTTCACCAGAGCTACTTGGACCATCAGCTGAACAACGAGGACTACAGGCTGTTCTACAAGGGCCACGCGCAGCGCTACCAGGACCTCCAGTTTAGCTTCGAGGACCTCCTGCTGAGCTCGATCGGGCCGTCCACGACTGGATCTACAGTCGGGGCCACAAGCCTTGGCTCAAGAACTACGGTTTGCAGGAGGGGCACGCGGAAGCACATGTCCAGCAATTGCCGGAGGGGCAGTGGCAGAACGTGAAGTTTTAAAATGAGCACAAACCCAATCAAGAACATCGGCAACATGATTTGAGGCATGGCTGTTGAGGAGTTCGACAACGACGAGGCAGAAGGGCGCCGCCGCAGTCGGGGGCCCAAGGAGACCAAGCGAATGATCACTATTCGGTGTCACTGCTGTCGGGGCGAAGTTCGGCAAGGAGCACGTCGACTGCGTGGTAATACAGATCGACGCCCTGCGGACTGCGGTCCGGCGGAGGGGCGACCGAGAGCCTGCGGTGAGCAGAGCTACACATCGGCGGAAGCCTCAGAGGTAAAGCCATTGATACAACATGCTGTCGGCATAACATCGCGGGCCGTCACAGTTTCGAGGACACGCGTGCTACAAGTACCACGCGACCGACAAGATACCACGTCTCTGCACGAACGAAATGGGCACGGAAAGAATGGGCACAATGCCCAACAGCGGATCTTCTTCATTTTGACCAGGACTCGCTGTCCACGCCGCCGCGGCCTGTGTCCATTCGAGACAGAAGGCCGCTTGCCCAACAGCGGCCGCTGTTGGTTTGGGGCAACATTTGTTGTTGGGCATTGTACCCATTCTTTCCGTACCCATCTCGGGCGTCCAAAACGTCTACATCAAGTGTATCACGAGCGGTCCGGCCGCTCCTCCCCCTTCCCTCCTCCTCTTGGCCCCCAGGATCGCGGAGGAAGGTCGGTGGCCTCCCTTCCCCCCGCCCCTTTCTCCCCTGGAAACGACCTTCCGGTGGAGTCCAGAGGGCTCGCGCCCGCGAGTGAGCGCGGACAGGGATCTGCAGAAGCGGCTGCGAGAGAGAGAGAGAGAGCAGCGGAGGTCAAGAAGGGGCCGCTGGTTGGTTGCCTAAGGGGCGGGAGATTGGCATTGCGATAGAAGCTTGGACGGCGACGACAGGGGTGACAGGACACGGACGGGGATGTGGGAGGATAAGAACATGAGGATGAATGAGGAAAGAGGGAACAAGAAGGATAGACTTTTGAGTCCCGACGTCACGAAAATAACACCATCATAGACAGCTCGACCGTACCCGTGGACGCCATATGTCAGCTGCTGTTGACGAACCATATCGATCCGCGTGGGACCCTGGGGCCTAGATCGCCCGTCTGTGAGAAACCAACAAAACAAAGCAACAAAAACGACGCCAGGATCCCAGGGCAGGGAAGGACCCAGACATCCGATGTTCTGATCTTGCTTCAATGCTCGGCGGCGGGCGATGGGGGGCAATGAGAAGGATATGGCATTTTCAGAAGGCGTCGGGACTTCTTAGAAGCCCTCGCGCCTTCTGAGAAGTTTTGTGTCTTCGGGTAATGCTTAAACCTGAAACAACTTCTCAGAGAGCCCGTGGCCTTATGAGCCTTGTGAGAAGGCCCGCCCCTTCTCACTTCCCCCCTGGGCTCGCCGCCGAACTACGGGGCCCCCGGAAGTCCCGACCCTTTCCCCACGGCCAGTCTTTCATCCCGAGTCGTCTTTTGGCGGTCGTGGTGCCCCGCGAGGGCCCACCGAGACCGAAACTGGCCAAGCATTGCCCATCGCGTGTTTTTCTGTTTCTTTCTTTCCCCCAGGGGCGCGCATGTCTGGGGAGGGGAGGGTCGGGCGGGACGGGAGTGCGCAAGCAGGGTGGAGGAGGAAAAGGAGGAGGAGGAGGAGGAGGAGGTGGAGGGGGAGGAGGAGGAGTGGGAAGAGGACGGGAGGGGGGAGGAGGAGGAGGAGGAGGAGGAGGAGGAGGAGGAGGAGGAGGAGGAGGACGAGGGAGGAGGAGGAGGAGGAGGAGGAGGACGAGGTGTGCAAGCAGGGCGGGAGGCGAGCGGGCGGGCCGCGGGTCCTCGGCGGCGCGCCGGCAGGAGCACATCAAGGCCAAGGGCGAGAAGATGAAGAGCCTCCTGTCGAGCACCATCGGCGCCACCGACTCGGGGCTGGTCCACCAGACGTTCCAGGCGCGGGGCCGCCCACTCGTCCACCCCAGTCTCCTCCTCCTCCTCCTCCTCCTCCTTGTCCTCCTCCTCCTTGTCCTCCTCCTCCTCCTCCTTGTCCTCCTCCTCCTCCTCCTCCTCTTCCTCCTCCATGCGTTCTCCGTCTAGATAATTTCTCCCTGTCGCACCCCGAGGCCAGTGTTGAGGGCGGGCCGGGCGTTTCGCCTGAGACTTCCTCACCATGTATGGTTCTGAAGTTTTCAGAGTGACAACAGTTGCACATATAGTGAGCGGGTCGTTTTCAAAATGTGGCCCTCACCTGAGCGCCGCGCACAGTCGTTTCAACAATTGGCAAGAGTTTCACGGATTGAGGGCGGGTCGTTTTCAAAATGTGGCTCTCGCCTGAGCGCCGCGCACAGTCGGTGTCAAACATTGCAAGAGCTTCACGGGTTGAGGGCGGGTCGTTTTCAACATGTTGTTCTCCCTTTCGCGCCGCGCACATTCGTTTTCAACATTTGTAAGTGTTTCACGGATTTCCATGACCAGCGTATCAGAAACGGTGTTTTGGAAGGGTTCAGGATTATGCGGGTGCAACAAGTATGTTGATTCGCGATGTTGAAGTCCCAAGAATGGCGTTCTGGCACGATTCAGGAACGCCAAGACGCAGCAGTCGAGTTGATACGTGGCATTGAAATCCTGAGAACCATGTTTTGGCATGCTTCAGGGTCTTCAAACGGTTGCCTTCCACCGAGGCAGTTCCCTCAATGGAAGTGAACCGCTGTAGGGGTCTATGAAGAGGGAGCTTGCAGGGAGGGTTAATTCCCACATCGTTGATGACTCTTGGGTTTACACTGGTCCTCCTCCTCGTCCTCTTTTTCTTCCTCTTTTTCCTTCTCTTTTCCTCCTCCTCTTCCTCTTCCTCCTCCTCCTCTCTTTTTCCTCCTTTCCTCCTCTTCCGCCTCCTCTTTCTCCTCCTCCTCCTCTTCTCCTCCTTCTCTCTTCCGTTGCCATCTTGACTCAAATGGGAGTGGGTAACATGTCCCGCCTGGGCGGGCAGCTCTCTTTCGAGCTATCAAGCGTGTCGTGGACTGGCGGGCTAGTCACCAAGTGTTCTCTGTTCCGCCACGAGGATCTCACCAGTATATCCCGCGATGACCCCAGGGGATTCAGACCCTCACAGCACCAAAAGCAAAGGAGTCTCCAGGCCGCAGCCGTCGCCCTTCGGCCATGACGTGCTCCCGACCAAAGCCTACGCGGACAGGAGCTCCAAAAATCACAGGGGCTCCAAGGGCTTCCAGGACTTCGACCCGATCGCTAGTTCTGACCCGCGACTCAGAAGACGACAGTGACGGGGACATGGGCATGTCGCCGTCGTCCCAGGATGTGCAACCCGAGTTCGTCGACGCCTGCGACGTCGGGGGCCCAGGGCCAAGATGGAGTTCATGCCTGCGCAGTGCCGCCCAGGACGTGGACGCGGGGCAAGCGCTCGAGTACAGGGAGGTCGGCGCAATTACGGGAGACGAGCGGAGGAGAGAGTTCAGAAGGGGGAGCGCGCAACATTGCCATTAGTTTCATTTGCCAGCTTACACGGGGCGTTCAGCCGCGCCAGTGGATTTGTGGAGCGCGCAGGCACCGGGGCTGGTTGAGAGTTGCAGGGGCCTGAGTGGCATGTGTAAGTGTTGCTGAAGTGCGGCCAGTTACAAGCGGGGGCGTGCGCGTGGTTCACCGCGACGATAGTCAAGTATGCGCTTGGGGCGATGTGTCAGGGAGCGAGCTCGATCCATAACTCGCGTTAGAAGCTCGGGAGGAGGAGATTGGGAAATTCAGGAAGCGCGAGGTCCATGAGAAAGTGAAGGACAATTAATGCCGGTCTGTTTCCGGCAAAGCCTTCAGAGGTAGAAGGTGGTTGATAGATATCAAAAAGGGAGAGGCCAGCCCTGAGTGCCGACCCCAGCACTCGACCCAGCAAGTTAAAGAACACTTCCAAAGAAAAGAACATATTTGAATCCACCCCTCCAATGGAAGCCGCAGGACTGTCATTGTCCGTGGCAGTTCCGACGGAAAAGGGCACAACCGAGGGGAGCCTGAGAAAGCATTCGAGCTGGGATGCATAGATGTACGGTGGTCAAACATTTACGCCAAGACCACAAATAATGTCTTCATCCGGTTACCCGAGGATGATCGTGAACCAGCCATGCGTGGAATATTGTCAGAGCCAATATACTGCACTCGGGGCGCCCCCAGCACTTGGGAAGACTGTTGCGTGGATCTTGCACGTGACATTTGTTGTGGCTTCGGGAAAGCATCACCATGTGTGTTTCAACATATGACACGGCGAATCTGGCAAACAGTCAGTGGAGACGATTTTCTTCCATTGGATATTGATATTGATCTTGATTGATTCGCGGGAGAAATCAGAAATGCACTCGAGGCTTAGATCTGGGGTATACTCGGGCCAACACTGAGTCTCGAAGTCCATCCGGATTCTCAACCGAACCGTGGAAAGTTGACCGGGCCGGGTTACGCCATGGGGCGGACCAAAGGCGTGCTGATATATTTTGTAGAGAGTTAGGTCTGGAACACCACAAGTTGAGATGTGGAACGCCAGGTGATAAGTGGCCCCGCGAAGAAGAAAATTATTGGGGCCCTACCAAATCATGGAGCTAAGCAATGCACGGCTTTGGTGGCCAGGGTGAATTCTAGACGCTTCGCGTATCCCCACCAGCTTGGCCCGCCAAGCTTGCTACGCCTTCTCTGGCACAGGTGCTCTCCGGCGTTGGCTTTGGCCCGCTGGCAGTTAGTTCCGGCCCGCTCTCTTGCTCGTCCTTGGAGCCGCGGTCAAAAGTGTTTTTCCCCCCCCCGCGCTCTCTCTGGCGCCTGTGCACTCCAGCGTCGGCTTTTGGCCCGCTGGCAACTATCTTGCGTGCTGCCCCATGCTCGATACGACCCGCTCTCTGGAATCGTCCTTGGACCGCAGATCCAAAAAATATCCCCACCAGCCCATCCAGACACGACGCCCAGCCGAGTTGAAATGATCTGGGAAGTGCGGGAGCAAAGACGGGGACGGCCGAACCGTGCGAAGGAGGGAGGAGGAGAAGGAGGAGGCTGGATGGATGGATGTGGGAGTGGGGAGAAGGAGGATGACTAGGATGAGGAGGAGGAGAAGGAGGAGGAGGAGGAGGAGGAGGAGGAGGAGGAGGAGGAGGAAGAGGTGGAGGAGGAGGAGGAGAAGGAGGAGAAGGAGGAGGAAAACAAGGAGGAGAAGGAGGAGAAGGAGGAGGAAAACAAGGAGGAGGAGGAGGAGGAATGAGGAGCAGGAGGAGGAGGAGAGCAAACAAAAGGGCCAGAGGTCTTTTGGATGCCTATCGGAGCCTCTTGGGGTATCTCTTGGGCGTTTCTTGGTGGCCTCTTGGGACGTCTTGGGAGTCTGTTGGCGGTCCTGGGGGTTCTTGGGCGTCTTGGGTGCCTCGGGGGGGCCTCTTGGGGCCGCTTGGGGTCCTCTTGGGGGCCTCCTGGGGGCCTCCTGGGGGCCTTTTGGGGGCCTCTTGGATCCATGTTGGGGCTTCCCTGGCGCCTCTTGGGGCCATCTTGGAGGATATCGATCAAAGAACAGGGGAATTCCTTTTAGCGCTGTCCCCCCCCAAAAGGCCAACATGGGGCCAACAACTAGGTACAACCAATGAGTTTGGCTTCCTCGCCGAGGCCGCTTTGGACGCTCCAATGGATCGCGGCACCGCCCGTCCATGTGCAGGGGAGGGGGTAGGGGGGAGGGGTGAACTCCCCCCCCGAAGGGGAAGCAGGGGGTTGGAAAAGGAACCGCCTTAAGCCGCCTACGCCCAGAGGGCTGGTGGGATTATGTGGCGCAAAACTGCTCGGATGTACAGTTCTTAGTCAAGGAGCTCGCGCGTTCCATGTCGCCCCCATCCCGAGGGGCATGGCGAAGCCTTGTAAAACTGGGCAAATACGTCCAGAACCACGACAGGAGTTGATACCAGCATTTGCATCAATAGCGCCCAACAGAGCTAACCGCATGGGCTGGCGCAGACTATACGCTGGTTGTAAGAACGCACGTAAGTCAACGAACGGAGGAATAGTAATGCGGGTTTCATATTTGATATGGTCGTGGAGTTCGACTCAGAGTATAGCGGCCTTAGCCTCTGGAAAAGCATTGTATAGCGGTGTGGTTAAAGACTTCGATATTGATTGTGGCACCTCGTTAGGGAACGTTGCTAGCGTAGCCGTTGCCATTGCTAGCAGGCGAGGACTAGGACGAGTCAGGCACCTCGAGCTTTGCCAGCTTTCGTTGGAAGAGAGATACGACGAGGAGACATCAAAGTGATCAACATAGGAAATCATGAGAACATTGCGTACGCTTTGATTCAGTATGTATGTAAGCAGCGGCAGCATGTACATGCAGATGCGAGGTACCAATCAACACAGTGATAAAGGAACACACGAGCTGGAGCCTGCTACAGAGTGTTAGCTTAACCTGTGTTCGGGTTACCATCGCGTGCAATTTGGCCGGGGACGTGAGCTCTGGATCAGTTGAGATCCAGGTGCTCGTCTACGCGGTTGAAACCCAAAGAGTTGAAGATTTGCATTGTTTGCTTGTCCTGGTGCTTTGCGACACTGCAGAATAAGTATCGCGTGTTGGGAGGCCCCTGCAAGCTCACGCCCAATCCAGAGCCGCCTTCGACTGCACCTGTTATGCTTTCGGCCACTTCGCTCTATACTTTGCTCTTCTGGGATGGAGTCCTGGCTGTGGTGTATTGCCCGCATATTTCGAAGTGCTCCGTTAATCCGTCATTTTTCCTGTGTGTAGCTCGCCCGTCTCCACGGTCGGCTCATCAGCCGCAAACGGCGCGTTAGATTGTAGCTTTCCGGCTGGGTGAGCTGGCCGCCCTTATAGTATAGCACGGAGCGTAACGGACGCGACTTGGCTAGGACCTCCTGGCGCGCGTCGACCGACGCCGTTTGGTTCAAGTAGTGCCTACCTCCAGGGAAAGGCTCCTGTCATATTTTCAAGAGGAGGACGGGGAGCAAGAGGAGGAGGAGGAAGAGGAGGACGAGGAGGAAGAGGAGGAGGAAAATGATTAGGAGGAGGAGCAGGAGCAGGAGGACAATTAGCAGGAGGAGGAGGAGGAGGAGGAGGAGGAGGAGGAGGAAGAGAAGGAGCGTGAGCAGGAACAGCAGGAGGAGGAGGAGGAGGAGCATGTAAATAACCCCCCTAGAGTTTCAAGCGCTGTCGTCGTCTTCGGCACTCGCGCGTCTCGGCCTTCGATGGCCGCCACCCCAAGCATCCGACGTCGCGACTTTTTCACGACGTGGTTCCCTAGATGTCTGGACCCCTTCCCCAGGAGTGGTTTTTCGTCCTGCGCTGTTTTTTTATTGTCTTGGGGCCCGGTGAAGGCTCCCAGTGGCCGAAAACAGAAGAAATTCATCGTCATGTTTTACAATGACAGGAGAGGGTCTAGGAAGCTCCCCGCGCCGTTCTCGTCTTCGGCGCCCGCGCTCCTTGAGATTGGATGTTTCGGGAAGGCTGCAGCATCGCGAAAAATCGCGACCACAGCTTTTAATACCGGCCGTAGACCCCATGTTTCTGCTGCGTTCTTCGGGCTGGATCGATTTGTGATGGTCCTGGCCCTGACTCCGGATCCGGCCTACTTTGGGGAAATTCGTAAGTAGGGCTTGGAATTTCCGCCTTACTTTTCAAGCCCCGCTGATGCCAACTTCCGCCCTACTGTTCTGTTGCTGTTTCCGCCCTGCTTCCGTGGATTTCCGCCCTACTTTGTGTCGGGTGCAGACATTTCCGCCCTACCTTTTCGGCGGCCTCTTAGAGGTGGATTTCCGACGCAATTTTACGTTGGACAAAAAAAGCCAAAGTAGGGCGGATCTGGAGTCAGGGCAGGAGGAAGAGGAGGAGGAGAAGGAGGAGGAGGAGGAGGAGGAGAAGGTGGAGGAGGAGAAGGAGGTGGAGGAGGAGGATGACGCAGCTTTAAGGCGGAAAAAAAGCCCAAGTCAGGGAGGGGGGGGTCGAGGGCCCGCGCCCAGCGGTAAACAACGCCTGGATCTCAAGGCTCCTCGGTGTGGGGCGGTCGCCGGTCGCGCCGCCGTCGGGGCTGCCCCGGCGTCAGGCGTGGTGCCAGGCGCTGCGGGAGGCCAAGGACGAGGCCAAGGTAGCCGACGCCCTGCTCGCCGCGGAGGGCAAGTTCAAATCCTTCGGGGCGAGGCGGGGCGAGGAGGAGGGAGAAGGAAAGCGGGGGAGGAGGAGGAGGAGGAGGAGGAGGAGGAGGAGGAGGTAGGAGGTAGGAGCGAGGAGCAAGGAGGGGGAGGAAAGAGGAGGGGGAGGAACAATCAGAATCACAATAATCTTAACAAGAATATTGCAAATGGTAAAACTAACAAAAACGAATCATATCCACCATAATGTCAATCGCAATTATGATGGTCACGATAATAATCATCATCATACTAATGGTAATACTAATCATGTTCGTAACACGAATCATAACAATACTATTGACAATACGAACGATCGTAATCATAACACGAACATTACCCATAACCGCAACTATGCACATAATGATCATCATCTACAGAACAACTGTAACAATATATGTAACATTGAGCATACACGTAACAGTAATAGTACTAAGCTTGGCAGTGACGAAAGTAATGCTACAACAATATGAGTGGTAAGCGTACCAGTAGAGCTGATGTAATAGTTATTCTGATTAAGCCGTAACCGGCAGAAGAAACATATACTAATACCAGGAATAAACATATGATTACTACGACTACTACTACTACTACTACTACTACTACTACTACTACTACTACTACTACTACTAATACTACTAACATTACTACTACGAATAACAAACATATTAAATCAAACCAATCATAACACTATTGTTATTATTATTTTTATCATTATCATTATTATCATTATCATGATTTACATCAATGTGAAGATCAATACTCGTAATATGGATAGTACGAAGCAGAACAACACAATAATGAGATTGTGAACCGTAAGAATACGAATACAGATAACAATCATATGAGAAATAATAGTGCGGATCATACTAACAATTTAAGAAGAAGCACGGAGCAAACAATAATAGTACGAATGTTACGAAGACGATGAGGAGCAGGAGGAGGAGGAGGAAGAAGAGGAGGGCCGAGGACGCCGGGCGAGGAGGCGGGGCGAGGAGGAGGAGGAGGAGGAGGAGGAGGGCGAGGAGGAAGAGGCGGTCGTAGGGTCGAGTTTGGAGCTTTTCGGTAGGTTCTGATGTTCCTGGCGGTTTCAGCAGCCGCGCCTCGCCGAGGGCGTGCCCGGTGCGCCCAGGTTGTCCCGAGCGGCCGTCGGAGATCCGGGTTATGGACCGAAAGGCGGAGTCACCCAGGAGGATGTTTTTTGGAGATCTGGATCTAGCGATCACGTCGGGAACGGAAAACTCTTAAACAACAGACTCGTGCTTCTTGGCTTGCGCAGCTTTGCTATAGACCTGAGGCCAGCACCCTCGAGGAATCTCATTTAGATTGTCTGTTCGATGACCTTCACTTCTGTCTAGGCAAGCCTGTGCTAAGCTTACGAACTGCTGTACTGCGTAAAACCCACAAGCTCTGCACAACAAGACCCCAGCACCGCGTGATTTTTGAACTTCCGGCTCACATCTTCATACTCATCCCTTATGTGCACCCGCTGCCCAGGGCGAGGTTCAAAAAAGTACCTTTTATGTTCTACGTAAATCGTAACATTCAGAATTCAGCCAAGCAGTCTGTTTAACATTCGTGGTGGACCCCTGGCACCCCAAACAGGCGAGGATTATCATCGCACAACTGTTGACGCGTGTGAAACATTGCACAAACAGAGAGAGCAGACTGGCGAACGACAGCAGCCTTTGTCGCACGACTCCGCCCCGACTGGGCCCATTCCATTTCCTCTGCCTTGACCGCCTCGATCTGATCACTCGAACCAAAAATGCCTGATGTTCGGCGCGATTATACCTGCCACGAGTCGTATTCGGCAACCTGGCAAGTTGGGCTCCAGCTCCTGCGAGCTCGTCCGCCATTGTGTTGCCACGGACGAGAAATCGATACGTTCTTCGCAATGCAATGTCGATGGCCTCATGATGAGAACGAATGAGCGATAGCGTGCACCGAAGTGTGGGTCGTGCTTCGAGGATCTGACCGACGTGCCAGTACAAGACTGCATCAGCCCCTGTGGGTGCTCGAAACCTCTGACCGTACCAACCCAAAGACACGCCTTCATGGTGTGCATAAATATGCGTTTATGTGACATATATATATATATATATATATATATATATATATATATATATATATCTCCGAAAGGGCTTCGCCCCATGCCGCCGGCCCTCTGTCTCGGATAATGGGAGATGCAAAAGCTAAATCATGAGGTCTGGGCGCCGCCGTGAAGCAGTGTCGGGACCTGTTTGTTTTTGGACCCTGACCCTGCGGATCTGCGTCACGGGTGCCATCGGATTTCAGAAATGTGGCAAATCCCACGTGTATTTGGACTCTGACCCTACGGATCTGCGTGGGAGATGCCGCCGAAGTTCAGAAATGTGGCAATGTCTTGTGTCTTTGGACCCTGACCCTGCCGATCTGCGTGAGGGGTGCCGCCGAATTTCAAAAATGTGGCAAATCGCATATGTTTTTGGACCCTGACCCTGCCGATCTGCGTGAGGGGTGCCGCCGAGATTCAGAAATGTGGCAAATCCAATGTGTTTTTGGACCACCGAATTTCAAAAATGTGGCACATCCCATTTGTTTTTGGACCCTGACCCCGCCGATCTGCGTGAGGGGCGCCACCGAATTTCAGAAATGTGGCACATCCCATTTGTTTTTGGACCCTGACCCCGCCGATCTGCGTGAGGGGCGCCACCGAATTTCAGAAATGAGGCAAATCCCGTATGTTGTTGGACCCTGATCCCGCCGATCTACGTGAGGGGTGCCACCGAATGTTAGAAATGCAGCAAATCCCGTGTGTTTTTGGACCCTGACCCTGCCGATCTGCGTGAGGGGTGCCGCCGAATTTCAGACATGTGGCAAATCTCCTGTGTTTTTGGACCCTGACCCCGCGGATCTGCGTGAGGGGTGTAATTTTTTCCCACCCCAGCAATTCAGACAATACGATTTCTCCGTGGTAAAAATGCTCGCTTTGGGCCTCCCTCCCTCGCGCGGTCCATCAACAAGGAACAGTAAGCAGCAAGAAGTCAACAAGGAACAGTAAGCAGCAAGAAACATAACTGTAACAGTGGAAATTGGAAGCTGCAACTGGTACAGGAAACTGTGAATTCCCAGCCTACAGCCTGGTGGCCCCACAAGGGGGCCGGCGGATATACACTCATATACATGTATGCATACATATGTCTATGCATATACATTTACATGCATGCATCCATACATACATGCATGCATGCATACATGCATACATGCGATCGTACATGCATGCATGCATACATACATACGTACATACATGCAGCAGTATGTAAATTTCTATACAAGCACATCTGTCTATCTATCTATCTATATATCTATATATATATATATATATTTATCTATCTATCCATCTATCTATCGATCTATCTATCTTTATATACATATGTGGATGCATCTGCTCCTCGAGGGAACCGTCGCAGTGCTTGTCCTTGGAGTGCCCTTCCCACATGCCGAAAGACGAGTTCAGCTGAAGCACTGCAAATCCCACTCTTACCCTCCTCAGCTTTGGGTGAGAAGAGTCGGCGCCTCCGTTCGCATCCTCGAAACCAAAACATGGTTGGGCCTTACTCGCGAGATCTTCAGTCATGTAAACCGGGTGATTCTTATGACAATCGTCGCGCTCCCAGACGCGATGCAAAGCCGTTGCCTTGCAACTCTTGCAACGGGCATGCCATTCAGAAATCGTTTGTCTCGCGCGTGTCTGGCGCCTCGCGCGAGGCCCAGCGGCCCCTGCAGCTGCCTGGAGAAGCCAGCCCGGCAACTGACGTCCTTCTGGCGCCTGCTCAAGATGCCGCAATAGCCGTCGGCAAGAGACGGCGGGCATCCCACGTTCCATGCCAGCGCCTTCGAGACTAGCAGAAGTCGGAGCCCGCAAAGAACTCTGCGCGGTCTCGCTGAACTGTTCTGTAACCGTCGACGATGTACCGAGATCAACAAATACCGCGAGCGCAAGCGCCTGGAACTCCCAACTCTTCTCCGCGTCCGTGCGGCCGCCAGGTTTCGTCCAACATGCTGGACCTGCTGGATCCCACCCAGTGTGCAGGAGGCAGCAGATGGTGGTGCTCCGAGGTCCTCGAGTAGCCCGAACGCGCCGAGCTGGGCCCATGCGGCGCAGTCCCTATGGAGCCGGTGCCCGTGAGCGCTGGAGGCCTGAGCTCCCTTGTTGCCCCAAGCGGCTGGACAACTTGTGACGTGGCCGTGGCCTCGGCATGCGTCGGCGCTGCCCGATGCACGGACATGTGCTCCGGGGCGCGCCAGGTTCGGCGCCGACGGGCGCGCCGAGCTCCGCCGCCGAGGTCGCCGCCCAACTGGGGGGGCTTGACCCACGGCTCTGAGCGCGTGGCCGCGAGCCCGAAGGCGCCGCGCCGCAGTCCTGGCACCCTCGAGCTTGGTGACGACGACGACGACGACGACGACGACGACGACGACGACGACGACGTCATCGTCATGTTTAGCTGCAAAGTCCGCCAGTCCGCCTGCCTGCACGCGCACACAGGGATCCACTGATCAAGAGGTCGGCTGGGCCGCCAGGGGCGCGCGGGAACCCGCGACCGACTGGCCGAGGTCGTCTGTCCATGTTCTCTGTACCACGCCACCGTGGACGGCGGTCAGCTTGTGCGCGATGCGGTACGCGGCGCACTTGGGCAAAGAGCCCATGCCCGAAGTCCTTGGACCATAGGGCGCCATGAGGAAGGAGGTTCAGAATGTGCGCCCGTTTGTCGCCGGCGCCACGCCGCCACGCGCCGCTGCAATTCCAGCCCCAGGGCCTCCGCTGGGAAGTCCAACTTCAGAGCTGCACGCCCTGGCCTCAGCCAACCAATCGCGGTAATAAGATTGACTAACATTTGCCGTGATTATTTCGCCGTCGCCCAGCCAGCTCCCCATCGATACATCTCAAAGGAATCTCCCGAACTGCCGCATTGTCAGGAATGGCCGCGTCCCGATGAGCTTCCAGCTCGTCTGTCCACTGGCGTGCGCGTTTCGCGCGATTGCGACCGCGCGCGCGACGTGCGACGACGTCCCAGCGACGCGACTTCCTGAAGCCTTCTTTGGAAGATGTGTGCGCCGATCGACACTCGGCATCGCTCGGACGTGTGCATTTCTCCCGCGGCGAGGACCATCGAGGAGCAGCCTTGGATCATTTGGCGAGAAAAAACCACGCACGAAACCGAACAAAAAGCACAGGAGATGGACCTCCGAGAGATGGCCAGGACAGGGTAAACCTGGTGAGGCCAGCGCCCCGTCGCCTCGCAGGCTCCGAAAGAGCAGAGGATTCGTCCAGCGCCGCGCCGGGCCCACGAGCCAGACCATCCGCATAATTATCGCCGTCGGCGCCCGTGGCCCCGCTGGGCGCCGCGCGCCCCGGGGCCCGCCGAGCCTCGAAAGCTGCGCGGGGGCGCGGAGGCCCTCCTCCTCCACCTCCTCTACCTCCTCCTCCTCCTCCTCCTCCTCCTCCTCCTCCTCCTCCTTCTCCTCCTCCTCCTCCTCCCCTCCTCCTCCTCCTCCTCCTCCTCTTCCTTCTCCTCCCTCTCCTCCTCCTCCTCCCCTCCTCCTCCTCCTCCTCCTCCTCCTCCTCGAAGCTGTCGGGCGTTGGCTCTTCTGTCGTGGGAAGGGGAGGAGCGTGGGTGTGGCCGGCTGGCTCGCCTACCCCATCCTTAATCCTTATTAGAATATACTCCTACTCCCCCCTCAGGCCGGCCATTAGGGGCCGCATCCGGGGGGTCCCATCCTAACCTGTAAAAAAACAATATAAAATCAACATTTTTCTTATTTTTTCCTCTCGACATGGACGTCCTGTCGTCCACGGCGATAATCCATTGCAAAAAATACCACAAAGAGCACACGCGCGCGTTCATGTCAGAATCCTACCGAACACCGTGTGTTTGCAAGCATTTCAACATAAAAACATCAAAAACCCAATGTTTTTTTCACAAAAATTGTACAAATTTCCCGCCCGGGCTCTCTTGCTGAAATCATAGGAAAACCATAGGAATCTTAAGAATTCGGTCAAATCCAGCGATTTCACGTCATCGCGCGGTGCACTCGCGATGCTCTGTCATGCACCCAGGCCGCGAATCCTGTGCAAAAAATACCACAAAGAGCACACTCGCGCGTTCATGTCAGAATCCTACCGAACACCGTGTGTTTGCAAGCATTTCAACATAAAAACATCAAAAACCCAATGCTTTTTCACAAAAATGCTGTGGGGTGTCCTGTCAGACCGTCGGGCTTCCTCCGGCCACCTCTGGCTTCCTGCGGTGTACCGGGCCATTCTCGACTCGTCTGGCAATGCGTGCGCGGCATTCAACACGCGCTCGCCAGTTCCCGTCGGCAACCGCCATCGCGGCCGCATCAGCTGTACCAAACCGGCTGGCCGGTGTGACTTCGGCCCCCAGTTGTGCCAGCTTTGCTTCTTATGTTGTGGGAGGGCGGGTGGGACTGGGCATGCCATGCTTGACTCGCTCGAGCTGGCTAGCTTGACTCCTACCCCTACCGCTCCTACCCCTGCCCCTCCTATCTTGACTCTTGTTCCTGCCCCTACCCCTACCCCTCCTCCCTCCTCCTATCTGGACTCTTATTCCCACTCCTACCCCTACCCCTTTCGGTCATAGCCAGGACCCCCGGTAAGGGGGCCCGGTAAGTAGAAGGGCCCCGGAGCCCCTAAACTGGCCAGAATCACTGAACCAGGTCTGCCGTAGCTGGTTTTGTTTCGGGTGACGGCAGTTCCGGTTAGTGGAACGGGGCGGGGGGGGGGGGGGGGGGCGTCCCCCAGTATACATTACTAAACCAGGTCCCGCTAAACCCAGGTCTGCCAACGCCCGACCATTACTGATCATTGCTTCTATGATCATCACCATTGGAGCTCGTATGATGACTGCCACTGCTTCTGCGACAACGACTCCCGCTCCCACTCCTACCCCTACCCCTTGCATGTCCTTCATTGTTTATAATTGCTTGCATGGTCAACACCATTATCTCTGGAGCTCGTGTTATGACTGCCGTGGCTTCCGCGACAACGGGCACCTCTGCTGCCAGTGTTCAGAGGGCGTTCGGACCCAGTTGGGATCTCGGGCCGCCCCTCTGGCCGTCGGTAGAAGTCCGCTGCGGCTTCGGCGGAGGCCAGAGGCCGGAGGCCTGCGGAGCCTTCCGAATCGGGCCGCTGCCTCGGCGGTTCCCCCTCCTCTGGGCGCGCCGCCGAGTCGGCCTGTCTGTGCCCGCCCGGCTCCCCCTTGTGCCGGCGAGGGGGAAGACGAGCGGCATGAGCGCCGCGGAGAGAGCCGCGTACTACCAGGAACGGGCGGGGCGACAACTGATGGGCCTGTTTCCCACCACCACCACCATAAGTTGGAGGGGGGAAGGAGGAGGAGGAGGAGGAGGAGGAGTAGGAGTAGGAGGAGGAGGAGGAGAAGAAGAAGACGAAGACGAAGACGAAGAATAATATGAAGAAGAAGAAGAAGAGAAGAAGAAAACGAATAATAATACTAATACTACTACTACTAATAATAATAATAATAATAACAATAATACTAATAATGATAATAATAGTAATACTAGTAATAATAATACTACGGATGAGAATAGTATTAATACTAATAATAATAATGATAATAATAATACTGATAAGAATACTAATAATAATATTAATATTAATATTACTAATAATATTAATATTAATATTGTTAATAATAATAATAATAATTATGATAATAATAATAATAATAGTAATAATAATCATATTATTAATGATGAGAATAATAATAATAGGAAGAAGAAGACGAGGAGGAGGAGGAGGAGGAGGAGGACCCCCTCCCCCTCCAACTTATAGCGGTGGTGGTGGAAAGCAGGCCCATCACCAGCGAACGTACGTGCGTTCCAGAGCGCTCCAGAGCGCTGTTGAGGCGTTGCCGGAAGGCTCCGGGGAGGCCGCGGCGCCCTGTGCAGCCTCCAGAGCCGCCGGGTCTCAGAGATTCTCGATGTGTCCTCGCCCGATGTTATCTTCAGGTCGGGCCTGTCCCCCTACAGGGGGATTTTCGACGACAAATATTAAAAACACACCAACAATACATCAAAAAGGTAAAACAAGATTCAAAAAAAAGTCCCCATACTATTTTTTTGATTATCTTTGGACTATTTGGGTTTTTTTGCATTTTTCGTAGAAAATCCCCTTGTAGGGGGACAGGCCCGACTTAATGTTATCTTCGCCCTGGCATCGTCTTACAGGACATGGAGCTCGTCATCAGGACCTGGAGCGCGTGGAAACTGGACACCAGGACGGAGAAGCAGCTGCGCTTCTACCACGGCAGTCGAAGAACAAATGGCCTGCGGCATGTTCGCGCCCCCAGCGTTGGCGTTTAAGGTCGAACGCCGCCGGGGGCCCAGACTCGGCCGATGGCGAACCATCTGCCCTATCGGGCAGCCGCGATCGTTCAAGGTTGAACGAGCCGCGCTGTGTCAGAAGCCAACGTCGGCGTCATCGCCGCAGGAACCTGCCGTAAACACCAACTTTGGGAGATCCGCGCGGGCTTCTTAGATCGGCGCTGGAACCCCCTCCCTGAGCCTGGCGCGCGGAGCGCGCCGATCTGAGAAATCCGCGCGGCCCTCCAACAGCTCATGCTTGTGCCGCTGTTTGCTCTCCCAGGCAGGATCGACGCCAAGCGCAAGCAGCTCCTCGGCGTCCAGGAGATGTTCCGCAGCTTCGCGAACGAGCTGGAGGCCAGGGGCAACGTCAGGGGGGGGATGGGCTCTGGGGGGAACGCTGCGTGGACCCCAATCGCCCACTCATCGCCGATAAGGGCCTGGGAACCCGCCCTGCCCGGGAACATGCGGACTCACTATTGGGGGCCTATCGCCGACGCGTCGGCGATGTACCACCGATTCCAGGTCGATGATTCACCAGACCCCTTCGCGATGTGAAAGAATCACGACGGGAGGTTTTTCGATACATTTTTAGCCTCCGGGGGCCCTTCCCGGGCCTCGGGACCATAAAAAAAACGGCTCAGGATGAAGAACCGGTCCCGGGGAAGGGGTCCAGACCTCTGCGCGTCGACGATGTTAAAACATCACGACGTCGGGGGTTTGGGCCCCCCCCTGACCTCCGGTGGCCGTTCGGGGCCGTTTGGCCCCTCGGCGAGGCGCAGCCGCGAGGCTGGACAGCCGCCGAGAGCCAACAAAGGCCTCCGAAATCCTGAAACCCCGATCCTCGAACCTCGAGCCCCGACGCTGCTTTTTGCTTTCCGCGGCGCCGGCCCCCAGGGATCTCGACCACTTCCCCGGGGCCGGCTTTTCATTCTGAGTCGTTTTTTGACAGTGCCGCAGCCGAAAACGGTCGAAAAGCGGTCCCTGGAGGCCGCAAAACGGTCGAAAGCTGGTCGTCGCGATGACATGTCTTGCGGCGCTGGGGTCCATGGGCGTCGACGTTCCGCCCGCGTCCCCCCCCCCCCGCGAGCCAGTCCCCCCTCATTCGGAGAAGGAGGAGGAGGAGGAGGAGGAGGAGGAGGAGGAGGAGGAGGAGGACGACGAGCATGAGGAGGAGGAGGAGGAGGAGGAGGAGGGCGAGGAGGAGGAGGAGGAGGAGGAGGAGGAGGAGGACGACGACGAGCAGGAGGAGGAGGAGGAGGAGGGTCCGTAGCCATTTTGGCTCAAGTCCGGAGCCGTTTTTGGCACAGGACCTGGCCTCACTGGCAAGGGGGAGCAGCGGCCCCCACCATTTCGCCCCTCGTTTGCCTGGCCAGACGAGGTTCTTTTTCGCCAATTCTGATCCTCTCGGGCAGGGGCCACCTCAGAGCCCAGCCTACGCGCCCGCGAGGGCAGCTCATGGCCCAGGAGGGCGGCCGCGCCTCGCAGTATGTGGATTGGCCTCCTGCTCGCTGGAGCCGCCGTGCAAGGCGCTGGGGTGGGACATATCCGTGGCGAGAGCATCAACAGCCCGTTCCCCCAGGCAAAGACGAAGGAGACTGGTACACATCTAGTGGGAACAAGCTCAAGATGGTCACATGCCTGTCCTGTGGGTGCAGCAAGAACACCTGGGGATCCCTGTGCTGCAAGCATTGTGGCTCAAGCCTCACCAAGAAGACCACCCCTGCACGGTCTGGTGCTGACACAAGCGGGACTGGCAAACAAGACAATGCTGGCAAGGGCAAGAAAGGCAAAGGCAAAGGTCGCGATGAACGGCAAGACGGAACACTACCTCCAGGCCCCCTTCCAAACATGGACGTGGACAAGGCAAAGAACCTGGCGCAGCTGGCGGAGGAAGCAGGCGATGTGGAAGGGGCTAAACGCTATCATGCCTTGGCTTCCCGTGGACCGCCTGCTCCCTCGGCACCTACCGCCAGGCAAAGGTGGCAGAAAGCAGAAGCTCTCCAAGCACAGCTCGAGAAGAAGCTCCACAGCGAGTACGAGAAGCTCGAGCGTTGGAGAGCAGCCACACTGGACCTGGAGGAGCACATCGCCAACATGGCGAAGCAACTTCACGAGGCTGACGAGGAGGTCACCAATGCGCTGGCTGAGATCCAGACCTCGGTGGGAAGGCAGCAGCCTGAAGAACCATCGCGCCCTGCCCAAGTCAGCATCAGGGAAGTGGTCGAAGGAAAGGTGGACCTCAAGGACGTGTTCTCGATGGACGACTTCCTGGGAATCTCAGATGTGGTGGCCTCCTACGAATTGGATGAACAAGACATCAAAGAGCTCGAACGCCGCAAGGCAGAGGCCTCTGATAATATCCAGACCCACCTTGCCAAGATTTTCAAGGGAGCGCTGGAGCAGGCCACCAAGGCCAAAGATGCACACCGCGAGCACGTTAAGAGGTTGGAAGGGAAGAAGCGAAAAGTGGACGAAGGCACATCAACAGCTGGTGGCAATGCAGGGGCCGGCCAACCAGCACATCCTGAACAATGCGACGAACAAAAGCCTGCCACTACGAAGGCGGGCTCTTCCACCAACCCCATCAAGAACATCCGCGAGAAGATTGCTGGAGATCGAGGACTACCACATGCTGCTGGGTCACAGGCCACACGACAGGGCCTTTAGCCGAAGTGTGGACGTTCAGGGCTGGGTGCGCAGGGATTCAGCCCCTGGAAGTCACAGCACCCAGCCCACATGGAGTACTACTAGTGCAACTCCACCTACGCCAGGGACCTTGTCATGGCCGTGGACCAGGCCGAGAAACCCGACGAAGGCGAAGCAAGCCCAGACCCAGAGTGACCCCGACTACGTCGGAGCGCGTCCTCGGGTGGGCTTTCCGCTGGAGGGGACTCGGCCGCCACGATCGTCGTCGCCAATTACCACATGTGGATCGGCTGGGGTCTCGACCTCCACACCAACAGGGCCGACGACATCGAGTTCGCCTACCCCATCGGGTACATGCGATGGCCCGCCTCAACTCCAGGCGGGCCTCCCGTCCAAACCTTTTGCTGGATTTGGGCCAAGTCAGAACGCAGCTGCCAGGTGCTCCTCGAACCTGGCAGCACATAATCTACATGGATGCCCGTCTCAAAGGATTGGCACAGGCACCCCGTCCGAACATTTTGCTGGATCTGGGAAAGGTCAGAACGCAGACCCCTATGGGGCGCAAAGTCGCCACTGGCGTTACCCACCGTCCAGGGGGCCAGGGTTGGACCACGATCGCTCTGGCCCACCTCATGTGGCGGTGGGCGGGTCAGGTTTTGCTGGATCGTATTGTGCACGGAATGGTGACTACAGATTTGACATCAAAGGTGACAAGATCCCGTCGTCGGAGGATTTAGCATGCTGTCTATCTGCGTGGGATAAGATGATGAGGACCAACTCTGGTGAAGCAGTGGTTGGGATCAAACAGCGCTGGGCCCTACTGCGTGAACAGCTTCAAGGAAGTCAAGACCTGGCAATGCGACTCCACCCAGAGGGACAAGTTCGTATTCGGCGGCCAGAGTGTGCAAGTGAGCCACCCCGAGTCGGCTTGAGCCGTGACCAGCCAGCACGCAAGGGCGCCCCGAACAAGTTTGGCATTGTGAGCTGCAACGCCAACTCCTGGAGGACGGCGAAGCAGCTGCTCGCCCACTTGTCAACGCTCGGGGACATCATATGTATTCAGGAGCACAGGCTGGTCCAAAAGTTTCAAGAAGTTTCAGATAGACTCCAGAAACAAGGTTGGACAGTGTTCGGGACCAAGGGACTTCGGCTACCGTCCAAGAAGGTCTCGGGAGGCGTCATGATCCTGGTCAAGGGCCACCTGGAGGCCTGGAGCCCAAACCCTGAACTGGTCCCTGGCCGCCTATGCCAATGTTTCGTCCAACATGGGGCTCTGGGGATCCTGAATGTGTTCTGTGCTTACCTCCATGACAGCGAGGGGCTCTCACCAAGAAACATAGGTATCCTGGAGGCATTTGGAACCGCGGCTGGAAAAATGGGTTTTCCATACATTCTGGCTGGTGATTTCAACGTCTGCCCACACACGGTGACCCTAAGTTTCCCACTTCACGTGATCAAAGGGGTGGTGCGGGCCGACCCCACAGCCCCGTCATGCGTCATGACCATTGGCGGCAAGCATTGCGAGTCGACCGTGGATTATTTCCTGCTGTATCGCCATTTGGATGCGGCAGTGGTGACTGTAGACACAGACCTGGACACTACCCTCAAGCCCCACAGGCCCGTGGTCCTCCAACTTGGCACAGGCACCCAGGACATCACCATCCAGGTCCCCAAGGCTTACCAGAAGATCCCAACAAAGCCCCTCATAGGCCCTCAGCAGGAGCACCCGAACTACAACGTGGTCCTAGGAGTCCTTGAAGATTTCTACGAACACCTTGGAGGGGTGGATGCTGAACATGTCACTATTGAAGGGGACCTCAGGGATAAAGGTATACAGACTCTCAACGAAACATTTGCAATGTGGAACAAATTGGCTTGGCAGGAGCTCAAGCAAGTCACAGGTACCAGCCCGACAGGAGTGCATGGCGGCTACCCCATGGAGTGGGATGTGAAGCCGCTATCTGCAGTTTTGGCCACCAGGACGCGCTCCTTCCCCCAGCCACCTCGTGCCATAGGATGGGTATTGGGCAGACTTACCGAGATCAGCAGCCTTCGGAACCAGGGCAAAACACCAGGAAAAGACGCGTACCTGGGGACCCTGGTCATGCAGCTGGTCAATATTTCATCCCATGGAGGCCCCTTTAGATCTGCTTGGAAGGATGGGAGCGTTTTTTGGCACCCAGTTTTGCGCTGCTTGGGAGTTATCCTCATGGTGGACCCAGAGGGGGCCAACAACCTCATCACTGATTTGATCCAGTTTGTCAAGGATTTCAAAAACTGCGTGTTCTGTCTGGGGACCAGCTCGATTGGGCAGGATGGAAAGAATGGTGCCAACAGGCGGTCGAGGAGCATGGGGCTCGGGAGGCTCACAGGTTCCTCAAGGGGGTCGAAGTCCCCAAAGCCCACACGAGACCACCAGGGGAGCCCACGGAGACCGAGGTCAAGGAGCTCCTCCACAGTATCTCTATTCGGGCCCGCCTTGAGAACCAAAGAGTGCTCTGGAAGAAAGTCTGGTCGGCATCAGATCAACCGCGTGCCCGTTTCGAGTTTGTCCAAGGCGGAATACCAGTAGGGAAGCGTGCTCAGGTGGACACCATTCGCGGGAGTGCACGATGATTCAAGGACTCCACATGCAAGCCAGACGGCTGGCACCCGAAGCACCTCTCGCTCCTCTGCGATGACGGCCTGCTCGTGGCGTCGCTCATTTT